GAATTTTAGAATTACGGAATTCTAAAATTAAATACTCGAAAATAATTAATTGAGAATTAATTATTATTTAAATAATTTGATTATTTAAATTTGAATTTGAACACATCTAGATTTATCCATTTAAACTTATTTGATAAGTTGTTCAATTTAGAATTCAAATTAATTTAAGTTTGACTTAAATTGGAATTTGAATTTGAGTCAAAATTGGACTATAGGATAAAGGAGGATTTTCTCTTCCTTCCCTATCTGATATTGGCACCACACAGGGATGAGAATCTCTATCTTGGCCGGCCACACTAAGGGATAAGTGAAAAGGAGATTTTGTTTCAAATTCAAATAGGAGATAATTAACAAGCTTTATCTTGGAGATAGAGATTGGATTCTTTTTAGAAGTTTGACTTCTACTTTATAAATATGAGAATAGTATAAAATTGTGGAGACAATTTTTTGAGACACAATTTTTGAGACAATTCTTAAAAACGAATTTTGCCCTAATTTTGTGGTGGCCGAAATTCTCTAAGTGTGAGAAGGAAAAAATTTTATCCAAAAATTTCACATCGTGCATGCGTTGGTGTTTGTGGAAATTTAAGTGTTTATTGTAACTCGTTTTGTCTCATGTGTGCCCACACACACGTCTTCGTGGATTCTAGGAATTGACGTGGAAGACATTGGTTTTCTAAACACAAAGCTTTGGAGCAAGGATTGTTCGAGGTCAAAGAACTCAAGTTATCAACCGAGTCGGCCTTTAGGTATTTTTCCTAATTGAGTTCTTAATAAATGAATTAATGAGATTAATTTATTCGTGCATAAATTAATATAAGCTATAGAGTATCTCAAAGGTTTTATGAAAAGTTTTGTTATACACGATCTGCCTCCTCCTCGCTACGCTTCCGCATCCGAATTCGATTTGGTGACCAACATGTTCATCTCTGAAGGAAGAAGCATAGAAAAAGCATATGCATATGCCAATTCGTTCATTTATGTTGTATTTGTTGATAAGTTTAATTTATCTACTGTCGCTATGTTATTATTTAATGTTATGTGTAATTTTGTATAGTAGTGTAAATTTTACATTCCTATGTTTATAAACATTTTAATATTATTAAACTTATCCTAGACATATAAAGATGGAAATATAAATCTTATTCAATCTTATGTAAAATATATAAGGATACAAATTTGAATTTCTTTCTTTATGAGTTATTTCATTATGTGTCTACTTAATATATTGCCACCATCTTATTAGTAACTTTTATAAACATTGTAATTATTCAATCGTACATATTATACACTTTGCTAAATTATTTCATTTAGAATAAATTACATTTGCAATTATATAACTTAGTTAATCAATAATAACAAAATTATTTATTCCATCATTTATAACCAATTCTAACATATTGTAGTTGATAAGAGATAAACTAATTTATTTGACTTTTTTTTTCCTTATCCCTTGAATACTTCCATGTTGTAGAAGCAGATGGATAGGAAAAAAATTCGAAAAAGATCATTGCGCCAAAATCAACGCATGTGCCACGTCCTTTCTCAAATAAATTAAGATTTTACTAATACAATTAACAACCATCAAAACCAAATGGATCAAATTCTTTTCTGAGCATGTACTTCTTCATCTTCTTAATATTTGAGCTGTCATTGCACTGTTTTGTCACTTGCATTGGAAAATTTTTAGTATTTTTTTGAGTTCAACATATCGCTGTACTCTTTTGCTTTGGCATTATAACGGCCTCTTTTGTCATTGGATTTGGATAACTGGCCATTTGATGCAAATGCAATCTTACCTTCTACTTCCTCTTCCATTTTCTTATATTTCCTATTTTCCCTACTCCTTTTGCATGTTTTCTTTCTTACTGTTTTATGCATATAGTAAAGTCATTGTTTTTCCTCTGTTTTAACTCACCTGGTAATTTTTAAACAAATCTATATTTTGCTCTGCTTATTTACTTTCCATGATATATTTGTATGGTAAAAATTATCAACTTTCCATGTACTATAAAACTTTTTTCCCTCTTCCTCCTCACTGCAAAAAAAAGCCTTTCAATCATTTCAATCTCACCCTCATCTTTAACATTTCATCTTTAACCTTCATTATATTTACAACAATTCTGCATAGTATAAAATTATTATCCGTTGCAACGCGGGTATATTACTAGTATATTTCTATTAAGGTCTAAGAAAATAATGCTATATTAATGTGTTAATACCACGTCGTAGTTTTTTAGATGGAAAAACTACTTTCTAATTCGATTTTTAATGAGAAATTAATTATAGTGATATAAAAGTCCAGTGCCATCATTAAGCCCCACTTAACTTTTACTTTTTTTTATTAGAAAAGGTCTCCCGAACTCGCCATTATTACCCACTTTATTGTTTTTTACCTTTTCCATTTCGCTTTGAAGAATCAAAACTTTCTTTTTGCTCAAATCGGTTAACTCAACTCTCTCCTATTTTCACTGTTAAAAAACTCTCCTTCACACCCCCCCCCCCCCCACACCCCCCCCGTAAACACTTTTTTCCTCCCTAATTGGATGCTAGCGCAATTAAAGGACCTATAATGGGAGAATAAAATATTTCCTCTCTCTCACAAATACACATGCAAACAAAGCACTTTTCATTCTCATCTAAGGTCGGATTTTTTTTTTTTTTTTTTTTTTTTTTTTTTTTTTTTTTTTTTTTCCCCCGTAAACACTTTTTTCCTCCCTAATTGGATGCTAGCGCAATTAAAGGACCTATAATGGGAGAATAAAATATTTCCTCTCTCTCACAAATACACATGCAAACAAAGCACTTTTCATTCTCATCTAAGGTCGGATTTTTTTTTTTTTTTTTTTTTTTTTTTTTTTTTTTTTTTTTTTTCTTTTAAGCTTGATATATATAACTAGGTTGTGAAGAAGTTGAAGATATACAAAATTGGAATTCATATGCTTCCTACTATCTACTCCAGCGTAGATAATTTATGAACCAAACAACCACGCACTTAAATGTTTCTAAAAAAAAGAAAGATAGAACAAACTAATGTATTTGCAAATTACCGTGAAATTTCACATTTATAAGTATATAATCCAATGCAACAATTTTGGTATAGTTTCTTCTTGCTTGCACTTAATTCCCATCTTTTTTGTCCCAATCAGAAAAAGTATACTTGAAATCATCCCCTTCTGCGAAACCAACACTAGGATCTTTCCCTTCCTTAATTACTCTCCTAAGTTCCTCTATCCTCTCAAGAACTCCCTTAACTGCCAAATCAAATGCATCTTTAAAACTATTCAATCTTGACCTTGGATCTGCATAAACTATCTTTGGTATAAGCCTTATGACTTCTTCTCTCATACCCTTTTCTTCTTCCTTCGAAATTCCGAGCAAAACCTTCTCAATATCCCCATCCCTCAAATCCTTTACATCCTTCACAGGAATGTACACAGAATACTTAGTGTAATTGTTGGGAAAATGCCACAAATACTGAGAATAAGCTGTCCCCGGATGGAAAAAAACGGGTATGCAGCCAGCCAAAATCGAGTCGAAAGTTGATCTTCTAGTGTAGGAATCCCCCGGGGGCTGCAGGCAATAGACTGAGCTTTGAAACACTTTCATGACACTAACTGGATTGTTGCAACTGTTCTCAACAGAACCGCAATCTATGAACCTGCAAGAACTTGATGCTCGACATTGATCAATGACTTTTCCCCGTATGGAATTCACAAGGTCTGGTCTAGGCGCGCCTGCAAATGTGAACAAGTAAGGCCTTGACATGTTCCTCATTCTGCCCTGCCATTCATACACAGCCCTATCTTCCGCCGGATGGAAGTAAGTCGGGTAGGGAATGGCGTAGTCGTTTCTCCATGAGCTTCCTTCAACTGAAAGCATCGACATGTTCATTGATTGGGGCAGGAATCTGAGTTTGCTACCCCAATCAGAAGACTCGTCTGTTTGCCTTCTGAAGTCCCAAGAAATCCTGCCTGCAACCAAGAAATGGTCTCTCCCCCACATTGTTTTCCACTCGGGTTTTTTCGAAAGCCAATCGACTAAATCACGAGCTGAAGAGTCTCTCACTGAGATGTTCGGATCCCACAAACGGAGACTAACATCTAAGCCTGCATAAAACGGTATGAATACAGCTGATGCAAGTGAAGAATCATTTGTCAAACACTTGTATCGCTTCATTTTGTTGTGGAAAATGACTTCCAACAAGAATTGGTTTGTCGAGAACCAACTTTTGTTGGACAGAACCCCTTCAAAACCATCAATTTCAGGACCAAGACCATTGTTCTTTAAGTAAGGACACATTGAGTTTTCAGTTCCTCTAGTGAGAAGCTTGCAGTTCTTGAGCAAATCTTGGTTGAATCTGCTTGGAAGATTATGGATATATATGTATTTACCATGGCAAGAATCTAAAGTGGAATTCTTGGGGATAAAATTGGTTTTGTTTTTGGAAAAAACAAGTGGGTTGTTCTGTTTGTCGACCAAAAAATTGACCCCTTTTTCTGTACCTATTAAAGCTGAGTAATCAAAGCAAAGCAAAACTGAAAACAAGGCAAGGGAAGTGAAGATGGCAAACCAGACTTCTTGAGAGCACTTTCTGGTGACTGGCTTTTCCATTGTTGTTCTTCAAGAACTTGTTCTTTTGGGGGAGAAATTGAAGAATTGCCCATATGAGACTATGAGTAAATAATGTGAGGGATGGTTATGAAAAGTACAAAAGTGACTAGAGGAATCATTTAGACCCAGGGAAATCTGATTGTTGTCCGTTGGATGGGAAATAATTGTGTTTGGATCTGTGATGAGGATTTTGAGTTGAAGCAAACGTCCGTTACTTTGTAAGCAAAATTAAGGCAAAGTCATAAATATGGAGGGACACTTGTCCCCCTATTTATATAGCACACCTCTTTTTGGATTTTTTTATTTAAGTTTGTGCTTCCGCGAGTTCTTTTGGTATGCCTTGCTATTATCAGTTTTTAAAAAGGTTTAATTAAAATCGCGTCGAATTAAAAAATATATAAAATAAATTATTTTTTTATTACGAATCTGATGACTTTTTCAACAATTTATTTTCTTTAAGACTTATAAAAAAATTCTCTTACTTTATTTTAGTTTACTTTTTTCAACATAAGCACTAGAATTTGGAGTAGAGATGAAGAGTTACTAGGATTTGGGACAAATTTGTTTGGTTCGTCCTTCAAATTTTAGTGATTTAATTTTAATTGAGAATAAAAAAACAAATTACATTCGGGTAGAGTGTGCGTCTATTAACGTCCCATTTTTACTTTTCAAACAACCCTTTTTAATATGATTAAAATATTCATTAATAAAATTAAGGACAATAGTATCCTAAAAAAATACTTATTACACACCCTACTATTAAAAAACATCTAATTAAATCTGACGGCTTACAACAAAGAGTTTTATCAACTTTAAAATAGAAGCTACTTTAGAAAGATAAAACACCCTGAAAAAATAAACGAGATTAATTAAGGTAATTAAGATTTATTACTATACTTAATCTGACTTAATTAAATAATTAGGTATATTAAATGTTTTGACGACTAAATTTAAATAATTCAAAGGTATTTAAATATTCTCAGTATTTATATTTTTACCCAAGAAGTGTATGTAGACACATTTTCTGGACTATCTTTAAATATTTTAACACTTGTCCATTTCCCTTTTCTTTTCCTTTTTCTTTTTCTTCCTTTTTCCTTTCTTTTCCCGTGCAGCTCTCTCTCTCTCTCTCTCTCTCTCTCTCTATCTATCTATCTCATTCTCACTCTCTCTTTCTCTCTCTCCCTTTTTCATTCAAACCAACCAAATCTCGAACCAAAGAGGAATTTAAAGAAGTTTTCAACGTTAAGAGAATGATTTGAGGTAAGATTTCTGAAAACCTCTCATGAATCTCATGATTTTCGGATTAGAAAACTTATTTTTGGTTCGAAATGGAATTTGAACGATTTTATGTAAAACTATGGTAGAAATTGGGGATCTTGGAATCTTTGGACTTGATTTAGTACCTAGAACCTGGATTTGGCTGTTTCCCCTTGAAATATTTCAAATTTGGACTTGAAATTTCAGGATTTGGCCGAATTTTTTTCGGATCGGCCCTTTCGGTCGAGCTATCAGGCTCCCACCGGTCGACCTATGCGGTCGACCGGATTGCACTACATCAGGTTGACTTGTGCGGTCGACCGAATTGCACACCACTGGTCGACCGGTGGTGTTGCACTACTCTGTCACTGGTCGACCAGTGTACTGTCACGCCCCCCAAACGGGGTGGGTGACGTGGAGCTCGATTAGAGATTAATAAAGCAGATTCCCAGACGAGCCCTACTCGACTGAATTAAAATATAAATACATTACTATAGAATCCCGAAGCCTCTGACACATAGGGCTCCACCCCACAAGACATACAGTATCTGTTGCCTAAAATTGTGAATCTAGAATCTCGCAAGTGCATGAGTCAACAAGTAGTAAAATGATGAATAACCAAGTATCGTCCCACAGGGATTGAGTGTTTTTGAAATCAAGTTGCTAAGTTAATTCTATTCAAGTTTTTAAGAAGAAAACTAAAGTTGATTTTAAGATGTTAAAAACTAATAATAATCTGACTGTAAGAAAATGAACAACAAATATAAAACTAATTAATAACAAAATGTGCAAATAAAATTAGCCAAAGTCACTGTGCGTGGCTCACAATTGCTAAACTGTCTCCTAACAATGCTGCGCGATGCTGCAGCAACGAACGGCAACAAAGACTTCCTGTTAACCAGATTTACTAAACCAGGGATTTTCCAATCCTCTGTCTACTGATCTTAAAGTTAAATCCCACAAATCCCTTTGCAAATCTAGACTCTAAAATCAGAGAATGAAGCTCTAAATCATATGGTTATGCAAGACACAATATATTCCTATATCATGTGAATCAAAAATCTAAAACAAGATCTAAGAACCTGCACTATTCAAGCTGTGTCCACTCAACTAAATCTTCCCAGATCTAATCAAAGCTATACTCCCCTCTTATGATTTTCCAATCACAGTTAAGGCACAAATTCAGCTCACTTGAATAAACAAAGAAATAATCATCAGATCCATTCAACAT